TATATATATATATATATATATATATATATATATATAGTAATACAAATAGTACAAACTACAGACCCAAGAGGTACATTTACTCAACCTTACTACTTGCAAGGTATCTGGAATAACTATTGTTATTCATAGAAAACTGATGTAGCTAAAAGTACTAGTTTTATATTCTATTTACTAATGTTTAGTTTACATGTGCATGTATGTAAAAACTTGTGTTTATAAGGTAAAAGTTGTATCCTTAAACTAATGACAAATGAAAGAATTTAATTATACATATTAACGCTTATTTCGTAAATTTGAAATTTTTCAAATTTACAATTTACTCTTGCCTTTGCTGACGAAGATGCATGTGATTAACACAGATGCTTGCAGTATGGGTCCTTTAACATATATTTGTGAGTACAGAATATGCATGACAATAGCACGAAACAAGTAGAAATATTGACACTGTTTTTAGCTGCAAATTGTTTTTGCCACTTTATGGACCCAGCAGAGTATATACACGTTCGTACTTTATTCAGTTTTTAGACAATTTTATCGTAGTTGCATGTCTTGTTTCATCAAGTTAAAAAACAAGCAGATATTGTAAAATTTACATTTTGGATTATGTTGTCGGTTGTGATTTTCGTAAAGGTTTTGTGTTCAGTCAACCTTCAAATTAATAAATGTGGTTGTCAAATTTTCTTGCACACTGTGAGTCACCATTTTCTATCATGTGACCTATAATTATCATGTACCTTTCTAATGGAAAATAAAGGCATTTATAAACTAATAGTAATAACTATAACCATTATAACAGAAGCAGTCATTTTCCAACAGTAACAACATCGCATTTATTTAGAAACCAGTAGCAGAGACGTTGGACAAACAACAGTTTCCATTTTGTTGAACGTGTGTACGGAGAGTGTTCTTTTTCCCTTTCTACAATATGATTCACATTGGTCACAGTATGTTTAACAAGCACGGCTAATCACCTTTCAACCAGTATCGCCATGAGGTCCAAAAGCATAAAACCCTGCCTAATGCATCTATCCACTACGCACATGTCCAATAATCAATTATTAGACTACCACAGCAAAATGTGTGTTTTGGGGCCAATGATGGAAAATTTTAGTGACGAAGCTGCCCTGTTCAGTATGCAAATGGAAAATCACTGACATCAATAGTTTTAGAATAATTTACATTAAGCCAAGATGACAATGCTGTGCAATACAAATTCCATCCTTCGATCAAATTCTCGATTCTTATGCATTCTGGGCACACATGCAAATGAAGTCGAGATTTTTACCTCTCTGATCGGATACCTCAGAAAAACCATAGGATGGAACGTTCGACCTACGCTTCTGTCACTCTCACTTACATTTCTGCTGTGTTCTTGAAACTTTTACAGAGTGAAAGCGCAGCATTTTACAATTCTCTAGCTTTTCAGGTGCATACTACACTGAATAATATACAGAGATGCCACACTGAAAGGGCATATGCGTGCTCTAGCGATCTACCTCTCCAAACACAATGTCAAGAGTACCAATGATGGCAACGACATCTGCCAGCATGTGAGCGCGAGAGACCTTTTCTAAACCAGCCTGCAAATATAAGACAAATGGACATTAGTTGTTACCAACAGTGCCACGCTACGAATGCAACTAAGATATCTATTATTTGCACCAACAAAACTACGACAAGTACAAGAAAATATTTTTCAAACACGTCATTAAAAGATTACACCCTGCAACGGCCTGTACCTGAGCATCACCAAAGAGCGTACTCAATTAGGCATAGCACATGACCGAAATATTGGATCAAATTATAGAAATATGGCATTCAAGTACTGAGCAAGCCACACACATTGATTCTTTTAATCCACGTTTACATTAACATGATGCGAGTGCCAATACAACAACGATGGGAATATTAATGTCAAGATATGCATACCAGATGTGCGAATCCTGGAGCCTTGATTTTTAACCTGTATGGCTTTGAACTTCCATCAGAGACTATGTAAACTCCAAACTCTCCCTATTAATAAGCACAATATGAATAATTATAGAAGATGACATAAATCGTCATTGTTGTCAGACAACCCAAGAGCAGTATTAAGAGCTCACTTTTTATTCAACTCTGTCAAAGAATATGATGTGGAAAAAAGGCAAAATTGAGATAACTAAATGGGCCTGATGGGTTTGGCTTTGCTGGGGCTGAGTGCTATTAGTAGTTAGCTAGTGCTAGCGTATTCAATGTAATCCTAGCGAGCGAAATCCATGATGTGATAAGTGAGACTGCTTTCTACCTTGGGTGCTTCAATGGCTGTATATGTTGACCCTGGTGGGACTTGGTAGCCCTGCGAGAACAGCTTGAAGTGGTGGATGAGTGCTTCCATGGAATCCTACAACCAGACAACAAAACTTCTCATGTTGATTTCCCATATCACTAATCTCATACAACAGACACGTTTATTACAGTACCAGAACATACTGATGGGTCAACTTAGATAACTATTTAGCAGAAATAATTATAAAAACGAAACGATCACTGATCGTTGCTTGTCGTTAACATTGAACTGAATGCACAGTGCATAGCTGGCCACTGTTGGCACTCACCTTCATCTCGCCTCGTGATGGTGGAACAATCTTGTGGTCATCAACCTTAATTTCACCAGGAGGCATCTTGTTCAGACACTGCTCAACAATCCTAAGGCTCTGTCTCATTTCTTCCATACGGCAGAGGTACCTACAAGCACGCATATTAGACTGAATTACACTCACAACTATTGCAAACAACGAAAGAAATTTTGATGTCCCAAAAAAGAATGTTGTCATTCTCGTTTTAATCTTCTATAGTATAAGTAAGTCTACACTACAACAAGCAACTGCCTTCAGAGGAAAACTAGTGGCTCCATCTATGTTCGAGAAACAAATGTATACACATCCATTGCAACTAGACAGATCAAAATTTAAAAAAAGGTACTGAAACAAGGAAATCACAGAGCAACAGCTATTATGCACACTACTCCTACCTGTCATAACAGTCACCACGAAGCCCAATTGGTACATCAAATTCAACCTGATCATAAGCATCATAGGGCTGCACTTTTCTCAGGTCCCACTTGATTCCTGAACCTCTCAACATAACACCACTGAAAGATCCAAACACAGTACATGTCATCAGGTTATACGATTATATATTACTGGTTGTGCTCAAATCTTCTTTACAGTAACAAAAGTGTTGTCAATCAATTTTGACAGCATAAATTTCCATAGGTATCACATTACATGTAATTTTTTTTTATATAGGTCACGTAAGACATTCACTAAATACATTAGATGATGGGTGCATTGGTGCCTTTATACAACTTCTGTTCACAGGGATTTAATAAAAAACACAAATTTAAACTGCTTTTCACAGTTCCACACACTTTAAACCCTTTGATATTCCCATGACATTAACTAAAAGTTGGCATCATTATGTTGACCAATGAGCACAGGCTCACACCCACAGTTCAGAGATGACTATGACATTACAGACTTCATCCTACACATCAAATAATAAAATAAAAAAACACCGTACAAGAAGTGATTTAGATTTGCTCTACCATTGTTACGAGAAGAACGAGTTAATGAGTTTTTCAATGTTATCCGCACTGCATCTGCAAAGAAGACAGCATGTGACTATCGGTATTCGCAAGACGAACTCAACCTCACCTGAAACCATAGTTCAGCGCATCTTCTGCAGAAATAACGCCGATGTCTTGCAATCGATTTTTCCAGATCCTGTTGCCACTAAGAACGTCTTCCATCTCATCTAGCCGTTCACTGAATTGGCAAGCCCATTGGTGTATGTCCTGCATTAGGCCCAGAGGCATATCCTGGTTCACCCCACCTGGTCTCACGTACGCCGCATGCATACGTGCTCCAGACACTCGCTCAGAGAACTCAAACATCTGCAAGTCGCGATCACATTCGCAAAAACGTTTTTTTATTGTTGCACAAATGGTAAACCATTGTCTTCACATGTGCATTTCCATTACTATGCTTGAAATCTGATATATAGGAAGATAACATCAAAGTGAGATTTTTGCGATATAACCAAAAAATATTTGTGACCATCACTGAAAAAAAGTATGCTGTATGATACCTTTTCTCTCTCTTCAAACATCCAGAAGAAAGGAGTCATAGCTCCTACATCTAGAGCATGGGTGGTAATGCCCATTAGATGGTTGGCAATTCTGGTCAACTCTCCAAACAAAGCTGTAATAGAATAATAATAACTATCATTTTTACATATGTAAATACAATGGAAAAGCAAACTGGTCAACACTATATTATAAATATCACAATGACAAAATGATAAACAACAAAACTATCACTAGTTTAACTCTAATGTAGCTTCAATTGTAGCACCCAGCGATACCATTACTATATGTGAACAAGATCAGGAATATATAGAATGGCTCTTAGCTGTAATAGATATTTTCCCCATAACATGAACTGTGAATTTAAGACTACTTAACTACTGTATATAATTACTACATAGCAATACAAAGAGCCTTATTGTATGCCTTCTAATTATGGAGGAGCCACACCCGTATTTTTTTAGGTTTCACATTTCAGCTATCATAAACATCAGTAAGGCAGAACTGGGACCTTTCCCCAATTTTATTCTTACCATGAAAACTAACAGATGGTTTTACCCATGTGAATCGATTGTAGCCAGAAATTTGGTAGTATAGGTTGTTTGGTTGCCCCTTACCTCTAATTAATTATGGCCAACTCCACACAAATAACAGGAGATGTAACGACACTCACTTCTAATCCACTTAGCTCTTGGTGGCACCTCAATGTTGAGTAGTTTCTCCACTGCCAGACAGTAGCACTGCTCATTGCACATCATGGACACATAGTCCAAACGATCAAAGTAAGGCAGTGCCTATATACACAAAAATCACCAGTTATGTGGTGGGTTTAGGAACTTTTCTACTCGTCTCTTCCACTGCAATTTCATTATTTAGTAACTAACAGGGCTAGGTACCTACCTATTGTTAGATAATTTTAATGACTAATACTACACATAAAAATAACTTGTTTTTGAGGAACTTCCTGAACTAGATTACGTCAAGAATCGTGTTTTATAGCACCATTACAGATTTATATATATGCAGGTATAATGCCAAACAAGAGCCGCAGAGCGGCTGGGCTCATCTGGGTGCTAGTGAGTGCTAAGAGTGCTAAGAGCTAAGAGTGCTAATCTAAGTAACTTAAGTAACTTAAGCTAAGTAACTTAAACTAAGTAACTTAAGCTAAGTGCTAAGAGTGCTAAGAGTGCTAGTGACTATTCCAACTATTCAAATGTACACTACAGAATCTCATATATAACTCATCTCATTATTCCTAAGTAAGCATTGTTCAAGTAAGATTATGTGTGGAATTTCACTGTAAAATGGGAGACGTTCCACAACCAGGTACTCGCCAACGCAGTTAAGAAACAAATCAATGTTTAACCCTGCTACAGGCTGCAATAGAGAGCTGCCACCTGTACCTAATTAACGCAGGCAAAAACTACACCAATTATCACCACCACATGCACTGGCAGTGGTCACTGGCAGTGGCATATTAAAACACTGACAGTACAGAATGCCATAGAAATTATACGATTTAAGAGCATAAACCTTCTTCAAGCAAATTTTAGCTTTGAAATTTCCTTGTGACATTGTAGCCTCATACATCAGGCATGTATAGATTCTACTAGCAACGCCAGCAGTCAAATTCTTTCTAACACAGTAACAGTTAACAAAACCATGTTTAAACCCTCCTCTTGAGGGTCAAAAAGGTTATCAGACACTTACTCTTCGCACGTCAGTGGAAAGCACATTTTCATGGTCCTTCACATAAAAGCATAAAAATGGTAGGTCACCTCTGAAACAATAAAAGTTTTCAATTGCTCGTCAACCATGTCCTCAGAAAATGTCTAAATCTGCCCTGTGCCATTGACCTTGGACCTGGTCCTCCATTTCGGCACAGTGATGGCTTTTCCTACCATGATGCCTATAACACCACTATCACAAGCCTAGGTCGAGCCGTTAGATTTGTGCCGCAATTCTGCATTTCCTCCCTATACCTTAAAGGCTCACAATGCGCATCCAACCTATTACTCAGTACTTAGCTAGCAAATACTCGTGGCATCATAATCACACTACCTTATGACAAAATAAACTCTAGTTCCTCCATTTCACTGCACTTGTCTTATAAAAGGTATTTTGAAAATACCTTCCAATTGTTGAAATTTCTCGATGTGTGACAGTTCCCGCCAATCCCAAGCAACCGTGGCAGCGGTACAGCGTAGCGGCGCAGCAAAGATAAAACATGCTGACGTCACCTACCGACTTCCGAGCTATTTTGTTTGGCGCAAACCACGTGTTGCCGCCAGAATGCCAGTTTTCTCACCTCTTTCTTGTGGGTTTTAAGCAAATGCGCAGTGAAATGGGAGCAACTAGAGTTTATTTTGTCATAAGGTAGTTTGATTATGCATGACACGAAGTACTTGCTAGTCTAGTACTGGAGAAATTAGCGTTTGTATGCGCATTGTGAGCCTTTAAGTTAAGGAGTGAATGTTACCCCTTATTTTACACCTCTTGACCTTTGACCTTTGACCCCCAGCTTCGACATCCCAACTCGTTTTCGGATTACCCCCCCACGTCCCGAATATCGTGACCGTACGTCGAGCGGTTAAGATTTGTGCCCAACTGTTGACGGACGCACGGACGCACGGACGATCATGCGATTCTACAAGCTGCATCTGACTATGTCAGATGAGCTAAAAAAGAAACAACAAACCTGGGTGTACGTTTTGTGTTCACATAGTTTCTCTGTCGCTCGATGCAAGAGACCAATGTGTGGGTCAGCACGCATAACAGTCTGCAATACCAAACAGCATAAATATTTAGCCTAATGTAGTCGACATAGACGACCTCACTAAATTAGGTTACTGAGCTGCTCAAACATACTATGAGGTAACAACATAATATCCCTTAATATGACCCTTGAAATATAATGTGATGTCAACTGTTATGTAAAATCCCTTCCCAGACCCTCATACCTCTCCATCCAGGTGTAAAACAAGTCTTAACACACCATGGGCAGCGGGATGCTGAGGGCCAAAGTTCAAGATAAGATTTCTCACAGTTTTCTCGGTCGGTACTTGCTTGTCTGGAATTTATTAGGTTATAATAAAGATTGCATACAGTACAATATAATAATTATACTCACAATTGTCATACAGAAATATAGCATTTAAGATGATTTCACCAGATACAATTAATACAGCATTTGGTTAAAAGTTCTTCAGGTTGTACTGACGTCATGTGGGGGGGGGGAGGGTCATAACTTATGTGTAATATCATTTCCATGTAATTAACACCAAGCCAAAAATATTTCACATGTAACTACTATGTTATGCGACAAAATTGCAAATCTCACATTGTCACAATATACATACTATTCCATGGAGCTGGTTTTAATTCAGCCAGTGCATCAGCTGTAGGGTACATAACTGGACCATCAAACGTCTTAAGATACTCCCTGTCCGGGTACCATGAGCTGCCATGTCTGACACTACAAAATGAAATGTCAGGAAGTGAAACAATGTTGGGATGGTAGGATCATTTAAGGATACTCTCAAGGTTTTAGGCAAAATTTTACCGATTTTTCATTTTCAACTTTATTCGATGGCTAACACTATGCGCCACCTCTGTATATGCTCATTTCTGCATATAACGGTACATGTGAACTTTTAGAGCGTTTTGATTGCCCGCGTACACGTGTAGTGAGCAGCAGCTGACGTCACTGATGATGTCAGAGACATGATACAACCAGAATTTTCATGATATTCACAAAGCCAGTATCATTCAGCATCAACCCTCCTACAGCTGTCATCTGCCAGTGATAGTTGAAATTTCCGCGCGACCGAAAATAGCCCCGTTTCTCTTGTTACACACCTTGCATTTAGGCGCGTGTTTGTTGACACATAGCTTAGTAACGGCATGCAGTACTTACACATCGTATGCACGTTTTGCATGAAAGTGCGGTGGTAACCTCGTAATTTCTCAAGGTGCATGGAACATATTACCAATTTAGTGGTGTCAGTTAGTCATGGATATGTCACAGTAAGTACTAACAGTAGATGTTTCACATTCGTTCACCCATTTTGCACACGGGCGGTCGATCATTGTGAAAAATAGAAAAACGATGATTTCTTCATTTCGATTTCTGACATAGTAGCCGATGTATAAATGGATATTTCTCTGTGATTACAACTTGGATTAATTTAATTTTACACTCGTTTTAATGGTAACATATTGCTGTAAAAATGTGAGTCAGGGATTGTTATTAAGTGCCATATTTTATTAGTTATGCCTCTTTACTCGCAAAGATCTTCAATTCTAACACACAACTTGATTTTTAAGCAGTTTTTTTCATTTTTCTCAGTAAATATGAAACTTAAACAAAAAATCCTGATGTGCTATTTTGGTACATATTGTGCTTAACCTGTGGCAAAAATTTTGCTTCCTCACTCTTTGTGGTAATTAAGAAATATCCAAAATACCATGTTTACATAAAAATTCAAAATGTGTGTGGTAACATAATTAGGTGCTGGAAATTTCATGAAATTTTTTGGCTTGAGCATAGCAATATATCTCCTCTATAAATAAAACGTGTGATTGATTCGATTCATTCGTCAATAAACGTTTAATCTTCATTAGAGCAATACCAGTGCAAAAGGTGGAGAGTATCCTTAAATGTGTAAAAAGTAACATTTGTAATGGTTGATTCAGAGTGGCCAATACCTTGAACTAACAGCGAGTACTAGAAATATCAATATAATAACAATTAATTAGCAATATTATATCGACAGAACATCTTGGTATAGCGCTTCTCTTAGCAGACAACTGATGATCCATTCCACTGTATGTTTGCTATGCTTCGTGCCATTCAAAGCTTTCAATGCATCGCCTGCCATTAGTCGGCACTAGTATCGCCCCTGACACAATAATCCACTGAAGTGTCCCATCGTATTGTATACAGTCTTTGATAATACAAGATATTTTTGAACCAACAAATCTTTTGTAATACTAGTGGCAGTGCATATATTATAGGCAATAGTAAGCAAAATATGGACACTGCAAGCCACCGGTTGTTTGGGCTCATACGTCATAGATATGTGCTAAACTAATCCGGTGTCATGGTCTGAGATTGCACCGTTCTGAAAATACCCCCAGCACATCGTGCGCATGTGTGATGCATGCGCAGTAGCGCTGGATAAATGAGACTGCTGCAGTCACAGTCTGAGATTAGTCTGGCCAAAATGAGGGTAAATTCAGACTGGGGTAATCTCAGACCGGGCTGGAATTGTTCCCACAAATTATATCTTAACCAGGCTGGGTGCCCATAGGAGGGTAAATTCAGACTGGGGTAATCTCAGACTGGGCTGGAATTGTTCCCACAAATTACAGCACGAAGGGTCGTTGTCGTAACAGGTACTACAGATATGTACCCGAGGTAGTTTTAGGTTGTTTAGTATTATGTTTATATTTTTATATGAGGTATGTTTAGGGTTAGGGTTAGAGTTAGGGTTAGGATTAGGGTTAGTGTTAGGGTTAGGGTACACTTCTGTAGTACAAGTCTGGTACACTTTGTGTATACATATATGTACCTCGGGTACATATCTGTAGTACCTGTTACGACAACGACCCCTTGAGCCAAATTACATCTTAACCTGGGTGACTTAACATGTGCGTGTGACAGTGTGTGTAGTATATACTACACACACTGTCACACGCACATGACCATTTCGCTATCAACAGTACATGTGCGTGTAACAGTGTGTGTAGTATATATATATATACTCGTTACTACACACACTGTCACACGCACATGACCATTTCGCTATCGACAGTACAATGTACACGAGCAGCCGTCGACACACCGGTCACTTTCAGTTCAAAAAACGATTTATCATTGAATCACAAGTTTCACAACAAATGGCGCTAAGACGCTGCATGAATGTGACCGCGGCAGTCTTATTTACTCAGTGGCAGTGCTACTGCGCATGCGTCACGCATGCGCACGACATGCTGGGATAATTTCAGACCGGTGCAATCTCAGACCGAGACACCAGGGTGCTAAACTAGGCTTGGGCCGGTTGTTTTACGTAGTTAGGGTTGCTGACAATGCTGTGACTTAAGTTTTAAGTTTAGCCTAGGCTGCACCAACTACCTCTGCAGTAGAACTAATCGAAATAGAAGAACCTAATATAAAAAGAATCGGTTAATAGCTACGTGCATGATTTCATAATGATCTCCATAGAATTGCTGTGAATCGGGTTGGGCCGAGTTGTTGTCGCGTATTTAACTACGTGTAATGTATGACATCATAACAACATCATACGCAAAGCACTCAAATTTATGATATCTTACATTGACAACTGCTGAGGACAAAACGACCTTTTCGCAAGAAACAAAGCAGAAGGCGAAATCTTTCTGGCAAAGATAGTCAAGGTGGTCGCCATCTTGCCGCTTCGCCACCTGAACAAGTGCATAGTACGAATTTATAATTAAAGATGGCCGATAGATAATAAACCAATCTTTTTGTTTTCGAGTTTAATAAATTGTTACGAATTTTGTATATATTGTTTTATAATGCAACTGAACCATGTTACTAATTGATGTATTATGGTTCAGTATATTATTTAGACTAATCTATGCCTATGGTTATCTATATTATTTCTATGGTGCTGCAGTAAAAAGTTTCACACGTACACTGTGCATGGGTTACGCCTACAGTGACATAGTGTCTATGTGAGATTTTTTAAATAGACAGTGGCTACGGGTACGGTAGCCGTATCTTAATGTCTCGAAGCTACGGGTACGGGAGTCCATTCGCTTTCATACTTAACGAGACAAAGATGGCGGCGGTGGCGCCAGATTTCGAAATAACGCCTTGGGAAATAAATTCACGATTTGAGAGTTTAGATGAGCTAGAACCCTAACCCTAAACCTAAACCTAACCATAACCCTAAACCTAACCCTAACCCTAATGCCAAAAAGGGGCTTCAACGACCGACGGCTACCGTACCCGTAGCCAATGCGTTTTAAATACCGTATGCAAAACAAGTGGCGGTGGCACCGGTCACCACAGTTCCCAGCTAGTTAATTGTGAGGTAGCTCACTGGGAACCACGGGCAGGGTATGGGTTAATGTTCCGTATTTGTGATTGTATAATTATTTGTGATGTCTGATGTCTATTAGTGTGCGTTTTCGTGGTGTTTTGCCTGCTCACCAATTGTTGTTGTGGATAGTCGAGTCCCTACATGGGGGCAGTCATGTTGGGTTGGTTAGCCACCCCTCTAGCGGCGGAGAGTGGCGCGGGAGAAACAAACAGCTGACTTAGCAGTTAGTCGTGATGGATAGTGGCCTTCGGGGAGTTTTGCTGGGAATGGATTTCCTAAGAAGTTACGATTGCCTGATTGTTGTCCGTAGGGGGCATTTGACTGTCGGTGATACATTGCATGTTATGCAGGAGAGCCCGGGGTTAGTTCCTTGTGAGATTGGTGCAGTGGATCGCGTAACGATCCCTGCTGGGCATAAATGTATCATCATGGGTGAGGCAGTTACCCCCTGGGGAGAGGATTGCCTTGCAATGGTAGAGCCGTTAGATTGTTTCAGGGCTGGATGGCAAGGGTATCCTGATGGCACGGTGTCTGGTAGACATGTGTAATGGCCAGGTGTCTGTTTCAGTCCTGAATTTAGGAGATGAGGATGTAGTTTTTGAGCCTGGGGAGTTATTGGCTCACCTCGAGGTTGTGCGGGTTGTGAGCCGGTTGGGCACCGGTGAGTTCGGTGAGTCCTCGCCTCTTCCGGACAGTTCTGGTTTGCCGACGCATATGCGGGTAATGTTTGAGACAATTGACTCTGGGTTGTCTCGGCGGGAGAGATGTGAGGTTTCAGCTCTGCTTCAAGAGTATGCGGGTTTGTTCACTGCTCCTGGTGAACAGCTTGGGCATACGGGGATGGTCAAGCACCGGATTGATACTGGCGCTCATTATCCCAGCAAGCAAGCTCCACGTAGATGTCCGTTGGCTCGCCAAGAGATAATGAACGTGGAGGTCGATAAGATGTTGGCATCCGGCACCGTCCGGCCCAGCAGCAGTCCGTGGGCGTCCCCGGTAGTGTTGGTCACGAAGAAGGACGGCTCGACGAGGTTCTGCATAGATTATCGCAAGCTGAACGACGTTACCCGTAAAGATGCCTATCCACTGCCAAGGATCGATGATACGCTGGATTCCTTGGACGGCGCCAGTTGGTTTTCTACTCTCGATTTAACCTCGGGTTATTGGCAAGTGGAGATGGATCCGGAGGATGCTGCAAAGACTGCGTTTGGGACGAGAGAGGTTTCTATTGCTTATCCGTTATGCCGTTCGGTCTTTGTAACGCACCGGCGACCTTCCAGAGGTTGATGGAGTGTGTGCTTCGAGGTCTGCTGTGAACGGAGTGTCTTGTTTACATAGATGACATCATCATTTTTGGTAAGACCTTCGATCGAGCCATTAGCAATCTCCGTGATGGTTTCTGTTGGATTGCAGATGCCGGCATGAAGCTGAAGCCTTCGAAATGTACGCTTTTTCAGAGGAGTGCTGCCTTTCTGGGGCACATTGTCTCCGGTGATGGTATCCGGTGTGACCCCAACAAGCTCCAGGCTGTCGAGAGTTGGAGTCGTCCACACAATGTTGCTGATGTGCGGAGTTTTCTAGGGTTCGCTAATTACTATCGGCGATTTATTCCTGATTTTGCGACCCTGGCAGGACCGTTGGTTGAGCTGACCAAGAAGAACATGCCTTTTCGTTGGGGGGAGGCATGTGAGGAGGCCTTCCGCGGCTTGAGATTGCTGCAGACATCGTCGCCGGTATTGGCGTATCCGCGCTCGGATGCTGAGTTTATTCTGGACACTGACGCTAGTGCTACTGGCATCGGTGGTGTCCTGTCACAGTTCCAGAGTGGAACGGAGAGGGTAATTGCATACGGAAGCAAGGGTCTCTCTGCAGCTCAAAGACGGTACTGTACGACCAATCGGGAGTTACTTGCTGTGGTGACTTTCGTAAAGCAATTTCGGCACTATCTGTATGGTCGTCCATTTTTGGTGAGAACCGATCATGCTTCTTTGACTTGGTTGTTGAATTTCAAAGAGCCAGAGGGTGTAGTGGCGAGGTGGATTGCTTTTCTGGATACATTTGACATGAGAATCGAGCACCGTGCGGGTAAGCTTCATGGCAATGCTGATGGCTTGTCACGTCAGCCCGTGTGCCGAAAGTGTAAGAGGGAAGATTGTCCGGATTGTCGTCTTCCTAGGGTGGGTCCAGTTGGTCGTCGCGTCTCTCACGATCCCCCGTCGTTAGTCGCAGAGCGGGTGGTCGATACGAGCACGATCGTTGATCCATCGGAGGATGGTTTACCCCTTGAGGTGGGGGCGAAGTCTGTTTGCTCGGTTGATGAGCATCAGTTGGCTGCTCCTGCGGATGAAGCAGACGCTGAGTTAGATAGTGTCTTGTCGCGGTGGTCTACGCAGCAGATTCGTCAGTGGCAGCAAGAAGATGTTGCCATCGCTGCTGTCTTGAAGGTGTTGGCAGCGGGCGGTGTCCGTCCTACCATCTGATTTGTCATCTTTGTCTACCGAGGGAAGAGCTTATTGGGAGCTTTGGGATGGTCTAGAGGTCCATGAGGGAGTGCTCTATCTTCGGCAGGTTTTGGACTGTCGGCCAAGCAGTGATGTTTTGTGTATGGTGGTCCCACCGGTCATGCGCTGGGAGTTGTTCAAGATCTTGCATGGCAGTCGAGTTGGTGGACACCTCGGCATCACGAAGAGTTTGGCTAGGATCCGGCAGCGTTTTACGTGGCTGGGTATACGGCAGGATGTTTTGAGGTGGGTTCGGAAGTGTGATTTGTGTAGCAGGAGGAAGCCGGGACATCGGAGGAATGCTCCCCTGTCAGCGGAGTTCATCGGCACCGTGGGAGAGGATGGCCATTGACTTCATGGGTCCACTTCCCGAGACATCATCCGGCATGAAGTATATCCTTGTGGCTTGTGAAAACTTCACTAAGTGGACGGAGGCGTTCGCTTTGCCGGATATGACTGCCCAGACAACAGCGAATTGTCTGGTTTCTGAGCTTTTTCTTCGTTTTGGAGTGCCTAGTCAGTTGCACTCTGATCAGGGAAGAAATTTTGAGTCGGGTCTGTTTACCGAGGTATGTTTGCTGTTGGGCATCGAGAAGACTCGAACGACGCCCTACCATCCTCAGTCAGACGGATTGGTTGAGAGGTTCAACCGGACCTTACAAAATATGTTAAGTAAGGTTGTTAATGAGCGACGAGATGACTGGGATACCCTTTTGCCGTATGTTTTACCGGCGTATCGGGGTACAACCCAGGAAAGTACCGGGGTTAGCCCTAATCTTATGATGTTTGGTCATGAGGTGGGGATGCCCATTGATCTGATGTTCGACCCCCCTCCGGGTTCGGCAGATGAGGTCTGTTCTATTGAGTTTGTGGAGTGGGTCAAGCGTGCGACTCGAGAAGCACACGCCTATGCTCGAACACATTTGGGTCAGGAGGCGCAACGTCAGAAGAGGGGTTATGACAGTAAGGTGCGTACCTCGGCGTTTGCTCCGGGTCAATGGGTCTGGTACTTCTACCCTCCTGCAGATGTTAAGTTGGGGCTCCCATGGCGAGGGCCCTATTTGATATTGCAGAAGGGTAACGTTAGGTGGATTCAGGCTTCCCCTGATAATGTAGTGAGAGTTGTGGCCGTAGATAACCTGAAAGTCTACGAGGGTGTGGATGCACCAGTCTCCTGGTTGGGGGATGGGGCAGTTGGTGTTGACGCGGGTGTTGGTGGAGAGTCTGGTAGTCCGGGGAACGTGGCGGGTCAAGGTGCACCTGATCTGCACGGCACGGATTCCCAGGTGATGGATGACACAGAGTTGGACGAGGTTGTTGGCTCAAGATTTTCTCGTTCTAGCCTCAAGACGCAAGCGGTTAAGTTGCAGCAAGTGGTCGGCCCTCAGGCTGGTTCTGAGGAGGTTCTGGTAGGTTCTGGGCCACTGGTAGCTGGGCAATCGAGGGACCGTTTGGGTGGTTTTGAGTTCTCAAACCCAGTGCGGCGTGCACCGGGCAAGAGGTTAGTGAAAGCTCCGTGTCACTACGGTTATGCGTCCCCGTAGAAGATGTTGTCAGACCGAGGAGTGGCTGTTGGTTCGTGGGGAGCTAGCCATTGATTGGTAGCTAATTCGCGTTCGGTTGTTGGCAGTCTATTCGCTTGCCATGGTTGGTAACGATTCCATGCAGTCTGTAGTTCCCGGAGTTACTATCCCGGCGTGGTTGTGTGAGACATGCCGACAAGGGGATGGTGTTGTCGTCATACTGCTACGGACCCGTGTTGGTCAGCGCCCCTATGATCCGTGGAATGTTGCACCGTACTGATTCGAGCAGTGGCTGTTGGGGGCACCCGAGGTAGTTGCGTCACGTGTGTTCTCTAGCCGGCTGGTACCGCGCTACTTACCCACGGGCATTCAGATTTATTACCCTTGATCGGAACGAGTTTGGGGTTTGTTCCCAATTAGTGTCGGAGTTTGAGCTGGATTCCGGAGTTTTAGGGGTAAAACTCCGGAATCCGCACCATTTGATAGTCGAGGGAGTGGTTAGTAAACTCCGACGTATTTCACGAGCTGAGAGCTGATAGGGTTTCAGGCCTATAGGGGGAAGGCTGATATTGCTGTGTTCACATGCTACGTGGCACGTGATAAGTGTGTTTCAGGTAATTTCAGGTCAGGGAGTGAGCTGGCGAGCGAAAGACGGATCCCTGAGAGAGTCCTGATTTTCCTGTAGAGGTAATGGGGGAGAAAATGAGGTGAGTTGCACAAAGCACTGTGGTTGTGTGAAACGCCATGCACTCATCTGTACCGACCGTGAGGGTTGTATATCGTTGAGGGTAGTAGTCTTGCGCCTGCGCGGACGTGCACTGGAAATACTGATGGGTGTATCACTCCCTTTGTTTTTCTTAGTTGCTACCAAACGACAGTATGTCCTGTGTGCCCGCGCCCGGGTATGAGTATCCAGATGGAGATAACGCCCGCGCCGACCTCGCATGCGAGGCTCGTGCCGATGAGAGTGGAGGCACCGCTAGAGGTGCCCACATTGTCAGAAGTGCTAGCTCAGCTGCTGACGACGATGCACGCGCTGGAGGCGCCTGGGGCACCCCCTGAGGGCGACCCCATTTCGAACATCACCACCGCCAAGTTCAACGAGTTCCTGGGAATGCTGTTGCAGTCCCAGCCGACCTTCCGATGACCAGGGAGGCAGCCGAAAGACGGAACTCATCGCCCGCGCCTGAGGTGGCCAGGAGACAGAGTCCGGATGCAGCGACAGAAGAGAGGCGACAGGAGGCACCTCGTCGCCACTACACCCAGAGAAGAGCTGGGCGAGGAAAGCGCGGAGGAGAGACAAGCCAGCACCTAGATAGATCCAGCTGGGCTCCTCCACGCCGGGTGCCGGTGCACCGCCAGGTACGTTGTTGGGATCAACCTGACGGTCGATCTTGAAGAGGGGAGGAGTGTGGCAGTGGCACCGGTCACCACAGTTCCCAGCTAGGTAATTGTGAGGTAGCTCACTGGGAACCACGGGCAGGGTATGGGTTAATGTTCCGTATTTGTGATTGTATAATTATTTGTGATGTCTGGTGTCTACTAGTGTGCTTTTTCGTGGTGTTTTTCCTGCTCACCAATTGTTGTTGTGGATAGTCGAGTCCCTACATGGGGGCAGCCATGTTGGGTTGGTTAGCCACCCACTTTTTGTCCCGGGAGTTGTCTAAAGTAACAGTGGAGTTCGTGTCAGGCGTCTAGAGAAATAACATTCGAGTTTGTGGTGGGAGTCGAGTGAGGTAGGCCCCGTAGCATGTAGCTAGTTCACTCTGTATGAGCATAGAGTGGAGAGGCCGGCTGAGTGGTGTGCAGAGACTGGGGAGTATGGTGACGACAGCTAGCGTACGTGTACTGGTTCAGTACCATACGGTTCACCAGTGTTCGACGTGGCTTGTGGGTGAGACCCCGCAGAGAGTCGGCCACAGTTAAGAGCTACGGTTGGTGAGTAGGCAGTTGTATTGTCCTGTTGAGTGTTGTTGTGGGGCGAGTAAATAATACAGTGAGTAGAGTATTAAATGGACTCCTGAAATAGTAGAGAGAGGGGAGTGCCAACGCTTCACGTGCAGGATAGAATCTGGCCTATTCTGTGAGCAGCCGTGCAGTAGAGAGCCTGCCGGTTGTTTAGCCCTTTGTCTGGCTCTGCCTATATCTGTATAGTCTTTGTTTATACACCGGGTTGACATTTATTACAAGACGTAACATAAGGCCAGCAGAGCGGGGTGGGGTGCCCCGTTGTCATGTTTGTGGTGTGGCATTGTTGACTAACAACGCTATCGCACCGGAGCCGGAACGAATGTTGGGTTGGGTACTACGAAGTGAGCGCAGTAGCACTGAGGCACTCTGGTGGCTAGTGGAATCTGGGTGGCAACGATACGGCCATGTCAACGCATCCGGACCTACGGGGTGAGTGTTCTTACCTAAGGTTATTGCTAGTCACTACGTGTCGACTGGTGGCGCCCTCAGGTGTCGCAGGAAGACACAAAACGCTACACAAGGCTGCCATGATAAAAATCAACTTCATATTGTCTAGACCAGTTTTATTGGAAATTAATGGAATAACATTGCTCACAATATCACATGTGACTGAAACACATAATTGCTGATTAATTTTTTACGAAATTTACTAAATAGTAAAAAATTAGTACAGCAATTTTCTGTCAAACAAGTCAATTTTATTATATACACTACAGTGCCGCTGATAGGGTCTATGTCCCCCAGGGTACTGCCGGAACGTACCCTGGTAACTATCTAGCTGATATGGTTAGGGTTAGGGTTAGGGTTAGGGTTAGGGTTAGGGTTAGAGTTAGGGTTAGGGTTAGGGTTAGGGAGTAGGCGTAGGCGATTCCCTAGACTCGTTAGGCGAGGTACGGTCCGGCATATTAGATAGTAGTATTTAGTACCAGGGTACATTCCGGTATACCGGACCGTACCAAGGGTACATTCCGGCAGTACCCTGGGGGACATAGACCCTATCAGCTACAGTGCCAGTTTAGACAAACGTGTTCACGCAGTTGAAGTAAGCTCACACGAAATACATAATATCAAGAGCGTATTAAGAAGGAGAGCGTACAACGGTGAAATGCTGAAACCATGTTGCAGTATTAGTCGAAGTAAGAAACTTTGCCCATTTTATTTTGACGATACTTTGCGGTAGTATTGATCAGCTGTCCTACCTTACTAATATAAAACAAAACGCTTGTCCCTTCAATGCCCCTATGCTGAGATAATGAGCAGTGAAAATCTGGTATTTTTGCCGAAAACCAACTCGAGATCCCTGTTGGCTGTGACCCTCTCTCGCTTTGAGATAGCTTCGGCAAACCTCACGTGTTTCCGTCAATGATTGACAAATGGAATGAATGACGTCTGTTATTGATTGCCATAGTGATGACCCCACCTGTGCTCACCTCACGCTGGATGTAGTAATCTCTGTAGTACTGACGTAATGACTCAGCGCTACCATGGCGCTACACAGCGGCGACCGGAAGCAACATACTGGCCACAACACGAGAGAGGGTCACAGCCAACAGGAATCTCGAGTCGGTTTGCGGCAAAAATACCAAATTTTCATCGCTCATTATCTCAGTGTAGGAGCATCGTAGGGACAATCGGTTTGTTTTATATTAGTAATGTAGGACAGCTGATCAATACTACCGCAAGGAAAATAAGACAAGCAAAGTTTCTTAATTCAACTAATACTGCAACATGGTTTCAGCATTTCACCAATGTACGCTCTTCTTCTTAATACGCTCTTGATAATATGGTAGCAATTACTTTGATAAGTTCGATAACTTTAATAGGTGTCCCAAAGAGTTCCTCTATATTTGCGACACAATCAATGGATATTAAATATGAACCTCACAATTCTTCAATAAGTTTATGTTCTACACATACTGGTTTTAAGTCTGCCATACACTTTTCGACCTGCTTTTGCTGCTCCTGAATTGCAAACATATCCACTTCCATCAATTCTGAAGCAAAGAAGAATAACATGACACTTTTGGACTATCATGCATAGACACATGGAACTGGGATTGGGCACAAGATTATTGGTAATAGAGGATATGACTAGCAAAGATGTCATTGGAGTGAATGACCAATAAAAATGACACTGTAATAATATATTGCATTAGTAACGTGTGCAGACATTTCCAATTCCGCATGCATAGCCCTGAAATTAGAACTGAAAAAGTTTCTTTAGTCATGAGTCCATAATTATTACGAAATCAAATTTAGAACAAGAATTTTAGGCAAAACTGATGCTAAAGCAATATTTGAGCAGGGGTCAACAGGAAACGCCTTTAGTATGCTCAGATAAAGTGACAGTTTCTATTATACTGCACTTGGTCCAATATTAATGAAAAATATATAAATTTTACTTCACAAATTATTATTGTCAGCTATATATTATCAAGAGCTCATAACAGAGAAGAGTATGGCACCGTTTTAACAGCGTTTTGCATAGTTTTCAACTTGTAAATATGCTATCAATATGTGAATAAATATATTAAAACTTTACCTTGTTTTCGTCTATGATTCTCCCTTAATCATATGACACCACCAATTTACCTGAAAATCGTTCTTCAAAAAAGTTCTTTGAATACGACACGGTTTCACATAGTTTTCCCAAATGTTCGCATGTATTCGGCGCAAGTTTATTATCGGATTAGTGTTCTATTGTCTATGACGGAACGCTGGGGGCTGTTAGGGATATTAGGCATCGAATTGTATTCAGCGTGTAGCGTTTCCAGCATGCTAGAAATAATTGTGTGCTCACGGCGAGCTAGCAGCTGATTTTAGCTGTGTTGCCATCGTGTTCCTGATGATAAGGAAGCGAAACAAGTGCTGTTACTGTGCTTACCTAATACGAACAGCCCCCAGCGTCCCTTAGTTACAACCTGGTGCTGCCACCGCATATCAACATGCGCCGAATACATGCGAACATTTGGAAAAACTGTGAAACCGTGTCGTATTCAAAGAACTTTTTTGAAGAACACATACGATTTTCAGGTAAATTGGTGGTGTCATATCATTAAGGAAGAATTATAGACGAAAACACGGTAAAGTTTTAATATATTTATTCACATATTGATAGAATATTTACAAGTTGAAAACTATGCAAAACGCTGTTAAAACGGTGTCATACTCTTCTCTATTATGAGCTCTTGATATTATGTTGCTCAAATTCTATAAAAGGTAATGAAAGTTATGTAAACAAACGAACATATATTTACCATTAACATCAATCAATAGGTTTTTTAAAGTTTCTGTGATGGACCAAAATAAAATAAAATAAAAATAAAACTTACTATGTTGAATTTGGATATCTGGAAGTAGTCCCTGGAGTTCTAATCCATAGTCTTGGACCCAGCTGAGGTAGAAGTCCAGCTTCTTCAAGATAACTCCACATTTCTTTTTTAAAAGTGCATTTTCTTCTGATGTGCCACCCTGAATTTTAGCTGAAAGACATTATTGAATAGACTGGAATAATCACTGCTATTCTAGAGTGATCACACCTTCCCAATTAACACCATTAAATTCATTTTTGACACTACAAACTACACAATTAGTAAAACTAGTAGATCAGAACTATTATCTTCATAGTACTGTGCTAAAGCTGAACAATGCTTTCTGACATATATCATTTACCCGTTTTCAACGATTTCTTGGCAATTGTGAAAAGGTTGTGGATCTCTGAGAGTGAAGCTATGATATAGTGCAGTGGCATGTCTTTGCTAGGTCCTTCCATAATTCTACATACATCAAGAACAATTGCTGTGGAATATTCCCGACTGTTAAGCCTGGCACTCTGGAAATAAAATATGCAGGGTAAACAAATATGCTAGTAAAGTTACATTAATTGCTTTTAAGCAACCGACATATCAGCAGGATAAGATAAGCCAAAAAGGCTGATTAATGGCCCTATCACGAGATTTGCAAGAAATGGCGGCGGTAATCAAAACGAGCAATCAAAACTCAAATTGTGCATGTTTTGGTGAATATAGCAAAGTGCGAAGGTTCGAAAACATGTTAACGTTATTTTAAACAGTTGCTGTTACTCATGCAGTAACGGTAAAGCCTAGGACACACTGTGCGATTTTCTACGCTGGCCGCTTGCGATCGATAAATACGGTGCCAGGGTCCGCGCGGTGTGTCCGGTCTCACGGCAGCGTATTTCGCACGCGATCCCATACGCCCGGCTGATCGCTCGCATTCAGCATGTTGAATATTTACGCACGATTTTCCATCGCTTGCGTACGGCGCATGCGCTTGCATGCGCTTGCACGTGACCAGCTAGCGCCAGCGCGCCCAGCAATGAATCATCGTGTTCGAACGCGATTGTTTTTAGCAGCCAATCAAGTGTAGCAACGAAAGCTAGGAAAGCCGTTGGAAGTGGTTGGACACCGTACAGTGTGTCCACACTCGTACGGCGTTCTAAATTCGTGAGCGAATATATACGCTGCCGGGCAGCGTACAGAATCGCTAGTGTGTCCTAGGCTTAAGTGTCGTAAAAGTGGGGAAAACACGAGACTGGTTGGAAATTATGTTCGAAATAAAAGCTTTCAAGGAAGGAACTTCGACCCTTGACCAATGCTTCACGGTGTGAGTGCAAAAACACACCTAACCAGGTCCTTTGCATGGTTCTCCCCAGGCTTTTAATGCATGTCAGGATTGACATGACTTCAACATGTTCAAAGCTAAAGCTAATTTGCAACCACCAATAAATCCTTAATTTCTTAACCTATATGCCTCGATTTCCAGCTGTGTTTACTTTTGACAATCCCAATGCAACCATGCTGTTTTCAGAGTTTGATATTTACGACTTTGGACTTATCAGGTTTGTCTGTGTATTAGGGCCACTTACGTACATAAGGAATTAATTCCAATTGGCGATGAATGATGAATTGCCTAATTGCCCAACATGCCTTCAGAAATTCCTGGGGAGAACACTGCTTTAGACAGAAAATAATTAAATGATAAAAGAGTCAGCATGACAATGATTCACGTAAATACCTGAGAACTGGAATCCACACTTGCAATAAGTGCTTCACTGACAGTACTATAGTTGTAACCACTTGACAGGACTTTGCACAGATTCAACATGGTTTCAGCAGCTTGCACCGCTAAAGAGATGTAGTCACCATTGTATAGTCTGGCAATGTATGCATATGCATACAGGGTGGCAACGATGTTATTCCCAAGCAACTGTGATGGTTTCATCTGCAAGGTAAGAATTAATACAATAAATCCTAATTATTTTTTTCTGTCGCTAATTTTGTTTGAAATGATTGCAATTGATTTATAATGTGTGAACAGCACATATCTATTACTTGCCACAACAGAATAGTAAGGGCGCATATACAGAGATAGTTTAGTAAAAGTGACTAAATATGGTCAAACCTGTATGTAAGAGCCAGTCAGGGGGAATGCCAAAAGTGGCTTTTATAAACTGGTGACTGCCAATACAAGTTGGGCTGAACCCTCTTTTCAATTATAGCCAAAACTCACCCGAAGAAGTTGTCCAATTTTTGGAATGGTTTTAGGAATCTCGGGGCACCTCTCGAGCAATTCTTCCAAAACATTTTTTTCAACATCTTGTATTAGGGTTTGGTCCTGACAGTTGAAAACAGTATAACATAAATTATATGTATTTAATATTTTCAAACTGTAATAACACATTGCTATTTCAATACATTATACACAAATTTATACGAAAGAAATACCACCAATTTTGTATCATTTATCTTTTTTCTATACCTGCTTGTTCCACCAGGGTTCCCAAATCTCGACAAGTCTCTCCAATTTGGAAGCATTTACAAGACTTTCAAACTCGTTCCTTTCCTCTGGGGTCAGCCTATTCCAGATTTCATCAGAATCTGTGTCCAAGTTGAGCCCTATAGACAGCAAAGCACATGCACAAACAATTTGAGCTAGATGAGATGTATATGGCTTTATTTACAATTTTTTTCATCTGTGGTGGTGTGTAACCAGGCTATGGTCCCAGGACAGAAGCCTGGAGATCTACAATCTGTTTCCTAATCCAACAAAAGAGTGCTAGCAGAATGCAGCAGAACTAGTTAATTGATTTTTGTGAAGGCAAGAAATCAATAGAGGTGCTTGTAAAAAATACTCAATATGACAAAAAAATAAAAACACTGTAGTTACATACCTGCTAACCTGTCCTCAATATCTGGCTGCTCATTAGCTGACTCAAAATCTCCTGCTTCTTTTTCCTCTTCATGAAGCCGTTTGAGGATATCTACCATCTTTGATTTATTATCAGGACTGATAAAAAAAATAATTTTAATAATATTACAGTTATAATTCCTTTTCTTACATTCTTTTCCTTAAAATATAATAAACCAATGTGGCAATTCTGGAAATTAAGCAATGGAATCGGCTTACGTGAAATTAGTTAAAAACATTTAAAGATATTAATAAATTTATCTGCATTGCATGCCAGCAAACCTCACCTTACTTTAAACTGGTTCAGCTCTTGCATACAACAATCTTTGTAAAACTGCTCTGAACAAGACTCGTGCTTCTTATCTTTATAACATGTGATTGAGCAGTAGCGCACGCAGCACCGTGGACAGGTGTACTTTGCCTCTGCATTGAGACACCTACAAATGCAATGAATATTTTCAAACGAGACAACAAGGCTCTATGACTACACAGCACTACAAGTCAGCACACAATTACAGTGCTATCCATGTACTAACTTTATAGATAAATGTTATCGAGTGATTATCTAGTCGAACCTATAAAGGGTAATTGGATCTGCGTCCCGTATGGCATCAGCTCCGTACGCCTACATAATTATGTCATGTTCACCACAGCACAGAAGAGAATCACGTCAAGTATCGGAACAACCTAGTACAATACGAGTACTGGAATTACTGACACATAGGTCTATTCATGAACAATGTGTGACCAAGTGCTGCAAACAAACAAACTGGCAACGTTTAGACGTTTGGTTTGTATACAACTAATTATTCTCATTTGCAAATTGCATGCGCCTGGTCAGTGCCAGTGGCAGTGATCTGAGCAGCTATATGATGATAACATAAATCGGCACAATCCTAATGTGGGCGCAAGTATACTTTCCTACACCCATCATGGCGGCCACCCGACTCCGAACCCCTGACCAGGCCCTTCCGGTATTGCGCATACTGGCGCGTTGTATACAGCCGGTCATACGCGAGGCCAATACACAAGGGCGGTGACCGGCTGTATATAACGCACCAGTATGCGCAATACCGGTCAGGGGTTCGGAGTCAGGTTGCCACCATGATGGGCATAGGAAGTGTACTTGCGGCATAATGGCGAGACCCTGGCCTAATTTTCGCAAATGCAGAGATGTCAAGCATATACGTATACGGCCGGAGCGAGCTAGCTAGCTGGGCGGCCGCGGAGTGGTGCTGTTGATCGGACCTTAGCCTTCCGATACTAGTATACTGTTATCTGGGACTGAAAATAGGGGGTTTTACTTATTTATTTATTGATTTTAATTTTTGCGTGAGAAATTCAGAGATGAGCATGAGACTGAGAGCGTGAGAATTGACCAAAACGTGTGAGCCTTGACATGTCTGCTAAAATGTGAGGGGAGGCCACTTTGGCACAATGCTACTGCTAGCTAGTTTGGATCACCAGTCCACAATTTCGCAAATGAAATGTGGCGGTACCCGGGTAGCTAGTACTACTACTAGTATTAGTAGTAGTACTACTACTAGTGCGTGACTAGTCGACACTGACGCTGAGAGGGTCTATGCGTGCGTGTGTGCGTGTAGTGTATGTGTGTCTGTCTATGTGCGCGTGTAGTGTACGCGCATAAACACACACACATACACGCATACACAAACACAACACACACACACACACACACCCACACACACACGCATAAACACACATACACACGCGCGGTGTGTGCGCGCGCATTTGTGTGTGTGTTGTGTGTGTATGTGTGTGTGTGCGCGCGCGCATTTGTGTGTGTGTGTGTGTGTGTGTGT